GTTGGATGGATGGATGGATGGATGGATGGATGGATGGCATTGTAACAAGTGAATATTCAGTCAGGATTATAAATATGGATATTTCTGCTTTCGCTTACTATTATCACATCCTTACTTATTTACTGTTCATTTATAGGTAGAAGGCGACAGAGAGTACATCGACCACGTTCTCCAATACTGGAAGAAAAAGACATCCCTTTTCTTGACTTGCCCAAATCCTCAGAGGACTTAATGGTGCCTAATGAGCATATAATGAATGTTATTGCCATCTATGAGGTACTGCGGAACTTTGGCACTGTTTTACGCTTGTCTCCTTTTCGTTTTGAAGACTTCTGTGCTGCTCTCGTAAGCCAAGAACAGTGTACACTTATGGCAGAGATGCACATAGTGCTTTTAAAAGCTGTTTTACGTGAAGAGGACACTTCAAATACTACCTTTGGACCTGCTGACCTCAAAGATAGCGTTAATTCCACACTATATTTTATAGATGGGATGACTTGGCCTGAGGTTTTGCGGGTATACTGTGAGAGTGACAAGGAGTATCATCATGTTCTTCCTTTTCAAGAGGCAGAGGACTACCCTTATGGACCAGTTGAAAATAAAATTGAAGTTCTGCAATTTTTAGTGGATCAGTTTCTTACAACAAACATTGCACGTGAGGAATTAATGTCAGAAGGTGTGATACAATATGATGACCATTGTAGAGTTTGTCACAAACTGGGGGACTTGCTTTGCTGTGAAACTTGCTCAGCTGTCTACCACTTAGAGTGTGTGAAACCACCTCTTGAAGAGGTCCCAGAGGATGAATGGCAGTGTGAAGTTTGTGTAGCACATAAGGTGCCTGGTGTAACAGACTGTATTGCTGAAATCCAAAAAAATAAACCATACATTCGACATGAACCTATTGGATATGATAGAAACAGGCGGAAATACTGGTTCCTGAACAGGAGGATTGTTATGTAAGTACATATTCTAACCATATCAATATTATACTTTTTTTTTTTAAAGGCAGTTCATCAATATATTTTTATTTTTATAATTTGGTTCCAGGCTTCATGTATATTTCCTTATAAGATTAAACAAAATTCCCAGATTATTTGGGGGGGGGGTAGGGATTGTTGTAATTGTAGCTGAAAAATTCCAGACACTATTTTACAGTTTTGAAATGATGTCTGAGCTTAGAAACATTGGTTGCTTTTTCCTTTATTTGTTACTGGTGCTCTTAAGGATCAAATTTAAATTTATTAAATTTAAGATTAAATTTAAGAAAATAATTTATAATATTATTTACATCCTGCATCTCTGAAATGGCTTTGCTTTACTTGCTTCTCCCAAGTGGCAGTTTAACCTTTTTCATCTTACTTACAGTTTCTATATTAAAATCCAGGTAACAGATTCACGTAATTTAAAATGCAACAAGCTGTTACAGGATGATGATGATGGTGATGATGAAGAAGGAGGAGGAGGACCTGGAGTACAGTTTTATTTTTTGTGGAGGCCGGATAGAAGCTTGAAATTAGGGCTCTGAATAACTGGGGGTACATCTTTCAGTTCCACTAGTTTTAGCTGTGGTCAACATTATACAATGATTTGAATGTTTGGTGCGAGCAAGAGGAACCCTGAAATTTGAAAAGCTTAGAAACACTGTCTTGTTCAATATCACACAGATCATAGTTTGTTTTATCTATGCTTTACAGAACAACATAGAAACAAGCCAGAATTAGTCTTTCAAATAAGCAAAATAATGATTTGTTTGGCCATTTTCTGACTGCTTTTCCTCTTTTTTTTAGCAGCTCTGTGGATTTTGTACTTGGGTAAAGTACAAAACCAAATTAGGAGTAAATCAGGAAACTACAGATATGATGTAGCCCCATTCACATTAGCAGCTAGCCAGTAATAAACTATGTTTCAGTGGTGGTTTATTGATGTAAAAAAATTAATTTATTCACTGATTACTGTTCGCACATCATGTTAAGCAAAAAACAAAGCACATTATGACAGCACAGTATATGAAACCAGCCATGGATGAAAAGAATCTAGCATAGTTGTCTTGAAATAAATGTATACAACTGGGGTACTAATATAGGTAGTCCTTGCTTAACGACCCTAGTTGGGACTGGCAACTCTTTTGCTAAACGAAGTGGTCATTAAGCAAAACATCACGTGACCACCCCTGCTTAGCAACAGCAGTTCTGACAGTCCGAGTTGCAGTCGTTAAGTGAATCACCCACAGTTGTTAAGTGAAACATCACATGACAGCGACTTGCAATCTCCTGCCAGCTTTCCCATTGACTTTACTTGTCGGAAGCTGGCTGGGAAGGTTGTAAATGATGATCACATGACCCCAGGACACTGCAACCGCTGTAAATGCATGCTGGTTGCCAAGCACCCAAATTTTGATCACGTAACCATGGGGATGCTGCAAGGGCCGTAAGTGCAAGGGCCAGTCAGAAGTCACTTTTTTCAGTGCTGTTGTAACTTCAAACAGTCACTAAACTATTGGTCGTAAGTTGAGGGCTACCTGTAGCTCATTTTTAAACTGGCCAGTTCAGTGAAATCTCATTCTAAGATATCATTTGTTGTTCCATTATTCCAGATGTCCATTAAATGTGATAATATGTCATTACTGTGATTTATTTCATTTGCATCCTGCAAAGTACATCATGATGTAATGATACCATTACACAAATGACATAAATTGCTGCACATGTGATAAAATTGAGCACCTGGGTCAGACTATTTCAAATGCAGCAAGTTTGTCCATTATATTGGGGGAATGTCTGGATGGAAATGTGGTTTGTTGCATCCAGAGTCTGCACATTAAACTGAGGGTTCACTGTTGACAGCCAGCATGGTGTAGTGGTTGAAATGTTGGAGTGGGAACAGGGAGACCCAGAGTCTGGTCTGCACTCATCCATGGAATCTCACTGAGTAACTTCGGGCCACCTACTTTCTTTCAGCCCAGCCTACTTCACAGGGTTGTTGTGATAAGGAGCTATAGGTCTTGTACTGCATTGGGTATAAGGGCATACCAAATTAAGAAATAGTAACATATAATTTGTTTCCAAAGATTCCAAAGAACAGGACATTGCAGAAGAATCAAGCGTTGACTTTCTAGGGAATCACTGGTCTGGTCATACATAATACTAAGCTATGATTGATTGGACAAACCATAGTGACCTGGTTTACACATACTGCTAAGCCATAATAGATGATGTTGGTTTTTGGCCAAAACTGAACTGCATTATACTTTAGTATTGTTTGCCAACATTCACAGAAGTCAGACAAGGCACTGGTACAAATCCGAAGTGCATCATGGGGGATATGGGGATCTTTGACTGCCTGTTATATTTTATGCTGATTCTGGTGGCTCTCAGTTCTCTACAGAAGTGTCATGGCCAACTTCAGTAATAATGTGTTTCTTTTAACCATTGCTTAATTTCATAACATGCTGTTTATGCTTTTGCTTCTGTCTCATTTTATCTGTGACTAAGATCGTGTGCAGTACTTTGAAACATACCTATTTCTAGGAGTGTACCTATTTGCCTAGGAGTGTATTTAAGCAAATGAATTAATATCAAATGTAGTGTTCTCCAAGAAGAGAAGAAAGAAAGCCTTATATACTTTTTTGATTGCAATTCATGCTTTCATCACTGATCATGTTCCTATAGAATGATAAGCCAAGATTCATCTGAATAAGGAAGCACTTATTGAGTATATTCTTAAACTGAGGATTCTCAGCTGTTGTCAGTTTGTTCTTGCTTTAGGAGTGTTCACTTGTTTGAGAGCAAGAAGTTAGGTTCCTTAGACTGACTGATACTCTTAACAAACCGTATCTCTTCCTCTTGTGAAAAGTTGTGTGTGAAAAATCTGTTAAGCGTTAGCAATTGTGATAACAGAGAGCAGAAAAAGTGCACAGGCTGTGTGGATTAGTTAGCGTGCAGGATCTTCATGAGAAGCCAGGTTTCTTTGTTCACAAATACTGCAGGTATGTCTGCCTGGTCTCTCTTCATCTTCTGCAGAGGAGAGCTTAGCCAATCTACTAGGTTCTTAGTCTAATGGAGTGTTTCTTAACGTTTTTGCTCTCAGGACCCCTTCCCACTTTTAAAAATTATGGAGGACCCCAAAAGAGCTTTTGTTTGTATGGGTTATATTTATCAATATTTATTGTATTGAAAATTAAAATTGATGCATTCGTAGAATATTTATTTATTGAATCATGTAACTTTTAAAAATTATGGAGGACCCCAAAAGAGCTTTTGTTTGTATGGGTTATATTTATCAATATTTATTGTATTGAAAATTAAAATTGATGCATTCGTAGAATATTTATTTATTGAATCATGTAACTTTTAAAAATTATGGAGGACCCCAAAAGAGCTTTTGTTTGTATGGGTTATATTTATCAATATTTATTGTATTGAAAATTAAAATTGATGCATTCGTAGAATATTTATTTATTGAATCATGTAAAAATAACAATATTAAACCCTTTAAATATTAACATAAAATATTTTTTTATGGAAAGCCCTATTTTCTTAACGAATAAAAGATAATAATGAGAAGAGTGATATTGTTTTAAATTTTTGCAAATATCTTCAATATCTAGCAAATAATTTTGATTTTGCAGACCCCTCAGAGGGTCTTGGTGGACCCCCCAGGGGTCCTCAGACCACAAGTTAAGAAACATTGGTCTAATGGGTCTGGTACTACCATTTTTGTCTCACTGCTTCTTCCTTCCCATATTTAGAACATTGTATCCAGTGCTCCATATATTTTTGTAGAAATATTTTGTTGTTGTTGGAAGATATCAGCCACTGAATTTTGCAGCCAAATAGAATCTTATAAAAAATGAATATTAAAATGGGTATTTCCCAGATTTTGAGTTGGTACAGAATATAACTCAGATTGTTTGGTATGACTGTACATCCATGAACAAATAGAAATATAGTTCACTAACAGTTGAATTCTTCAAGCTGCAGATGGAGTAGAAAGCTGTATTATTTCCTCTTAATGCTGTAGTTTTTTGTGTATTTTGCCATTTTATCTCATTCATGCTGAATTAGATAAGTTTGAAAATTCTGAACTCTTTTCCTCCACTTTAAAAATTGAAGCTTTATAAGAAACAACCTAAGAGTCCTAGAAAGCTGAATTCTGTGCTCACTACCACATTCAGTGTATTTCTGTATACACTATTAAGGACATACATGTTTTTCAACAAGAGACACTTATGTCCTTTTAAACAAGAATATAAACATCAAAACACTGGAAACAAACTAAACTGATGTAACTATAAAGTAGTTATATGTATGTATCTCATGTGGTGTAATTCATCTTCAATTTGCAGAACTATATGTATACCTAAATAGGTCTTTTTCTGTGTATGTTCAGTGAAAGCTAATGTGTAAGGTTGAAGTGCTAACTTGAAGGCTATATGAGGTTTGGGGTGGTAGTTTAAGGGGTAAAATGGATGTCTTACACTCTGAAAGACCTATGTACCCATTTTCCCCTTAATCTCAAGAATGGGTGAAAAAAGAAGGTTGACAAACTGCATGCAGCCCCAAGGCTACCTTTTTTGCATCCCTGATAGAGGTATGTATGCAAATTTTATAAACCAAATCAATCTTTATTGCAGTCATTAACCAGCACACTAGATTTAATACAGACTTAAGATCCCCTGCTGGATCTGATTTACTGCCCATCTAGTCTAGCATTCAGGGTACTGCAGTGGCCAACCAGACACATTCAGGAAACTTTCAAGTGTGGACTGTAACATTTTTCTTTCACTAGTACTTTTTAGCAGTTGGTATTTAAGGTGTGGGGTATATGATTCCAGACATAGCAAATAGTAATTGATAGCCCAAACATCTATGAATTTGTTCAGTCCCCTTTTAAACTGTTTAAATTGGTGGCTATCACATCTCCTGTTAGCATATTCATAGCTTAACTAAACATTGTG